ATAATAATGGAAATACAAGAAACTTTACCAATTTATTAGAAATGCAAAACAAAATATAAATATTGCAACAAACATTCATATTAATATTGGAAATACAAGAAATATTAACAAAATATATAAATTGCAAGAAACATTTAAATAAAATTTAATATGACATAGAAATTAATAAAATAAAAATTACAAATAATTTACCTCATTGTTAAGGTTTTCCCCGCTTCTATGGTTGTCCATCGTTTTTGCCAAGGCATCTCTCCATTTCGCCAACTCTTTATTAAAATTTTCCACCTACTAGATAATGCAATTTCCGTATGGGTCGAACTAATTACCTTTTCACAAAAATCCTGATAAATTTTTTTCCACATATGACAGAATTTCATCTCATTGCCCGTTACGGGACAATGACTAATGTGGAGCCAAGACTCACACAAGCTAACATCTTCCATGATGCTCCATGCCCCTCCGGTTTCACTAGAAGAACCCATAAATTTTTCTAGAAAAATACAACTTGAAAGTGAAAAAAATATTGAGTAGAAAGTGAATAATAGTAGAAGGAAAAGAAAATGTATGAGGAGTTGGTGTTAAAAGTGAAGAGTATTGGTTGGTATTTATAGAAAAAAAAAATTCAATATTTTTTGGGTATTTTTTTATAAAAAAGTTCGATTTTTTTTTCATTTTTTTATTTGGGAAAAAATTAGCTGCCGTTGAATTGCTGGAAAAAGGGGATCAGAGAGCCCAGAAGGAGCCACGTGGAAGAGAGCCGTTGGGGGGTCGGACAGCCCCTTGCCAGCCATGTGGAATAGACCCGTTGGGGGGGCACTGTAGCGGGCGCGTCAAATTTTTTTTTAAAGCAACGCACGCGCCAATGTTAAAAAAATTTAAACCCCAACGCTGACGTCAGCCCAAAACGAGTTTTGGTGCTTGGGCCAGCCCAGTTTGCTGGGCCCCACACCTTGCCCTGACAGATTTTTGTTGTTGGAAACACCATTTTGGGTCCCCAGCCCTCCCCTTGGGCCCCTTGCTGGAAATGCTCTTAAAGCCCAACTTTAATTTGTGCTTTAAATATAACTATTTCAAGTTTTGGTAGATAAATCAAACGTTAATCAAAGTGTTCAAATTAGCAATGTAGCTCTCTTTTCTTGGTTATATCGGAGAGAATCGAATTTTTGGCTTATCTTAATTCTAACTCGTTACCTCACTCTCCCACACCACTTAAACTAAACCAAAAGCAGCAAAAAGAACTCTCTTAACCACTCTAAGCCTCCGAGGTTCAAGTATAATGTGGTTTTATTTCCATGGGGACCAATGCATATTTTTTTAGACATGATATTTGTCAAAGATTAGGAGTTAATATACTAATTGAGTAATTTCTATCGAGATCAAATTTTGATATTGATTATGGCTGTTGTTTAATGAATAATCAAAGATAGATTTAACACTAGGTGCAAGTTGTAGATTTGAATAACTGATAAAAATGGCACACAGTAGTTCTGCAGTCCGAGACGGCCTGTACATATGGCTTGGTAAAGTGTGGTGGGTGAATATAATTTTGTACATCTTATTCCACTGTAAAATCTGAAATGGGATATCATTCAATTTCGACAATCCAGCCTTTCTTATCCTCAATATGACCCGTTTGAATTCCAACGAGGGTTGAGTAAAGTTGTGTGCACACAGTCTGAGCGCCCGTTTTATACTCCATCCTGCATATGAGCCAATTGCATGAGCTAAAGCAAGTTAGAAATATTCCTACATGAACTTTGCCATAAGAGTCGCACAATTTTGTAGAGCTGCATGTGCCAAATTGCCAATCTTTTTTCTTTTCAAAATAAATTTGATAATTTTTTGTTCTTTTTAAAAAATGATAATCTGGATGATCCTATAATAGCACCTTTTGCCGTGACAAGTAATGCTGCCCACAGGGGCAACCCCAACAGCAGTTCCTGTGCAGAACACTTCATCAGCTTCGCTCAATTCATCCACCGGAATAGGACGTTCCTCAACCTAACACATTTTGGGGGCCGGTGTTAGAATCAGATCATAAGGGATAAGTTTTTTAGTTTACTAATTGTTTCCTTTTCTTTTCTTGTAATAAAAAATGGTGTGGTTTTACTGGCATAGAAGATCACCTGGTAACAAAGATCACGAGCAATTTCGATAATGCTTCTTCGAGTAACTCCTGGAAGAATCGTCCCGACTGCAGCCGGAGTTGAAATAAGGTTGCCCTAAAACATGGAAATTACATGCATGAGAGACCTATGCTAAGCCAATTCTGAGTACAAAACTGAAGATTTAGAGTAAGCAGAATAAGAACTTCAACAGGTTACAAAAGCTTCATGGGAAGTTTTATAATAAAATTGTAAACAAAACGAGGTGCCTAGTATAGTAAAAAGAGCTAAAACAATACCTTCACAATGAAAATGTTGCAAGAAGAGACCTCCTCCAAATTTTTGTTATTTACCGAGTCAAGATACAGAACATCCGAAAATCCTCTGTTTTTAGCTCTGAGTAGTGCCTTCAAAACCTACATATGAAGTACAAATTATAACAGGAAGTCACACTTATTTCCATGAAACTTGAATTTTACACAAGTCTTAGCAAAGCCCTTTACTCAAAATAACTAAGCATATGAGTTATTTTGCTTACTGGAGCATAATTGGTAATGCTTTTGACACCTCCAGCTCCCCCACGAGAGGCACGATCATACTCCTCCTCGACGTATATATTCAAGGGTGCAGAGCCCTCCTATTGAAAGAACAGAAAGCATATAAATCTTCCTAAATTTGAAAGCTGATAAAATAAGCTTGAGTATTGTAAAAGAATTGCTAACCTTGAAATAGTTCCTCACAGGGGAAGCATATACAAGGAAAGTGTACTCAGGAGATGGAGCCAAACCCAATATAGGACCACTTCCTATAAGTAGAGGCCTAATATACAAAGACCCTTTCCCTGGTGGAGGAACCTGTTTTTTTGTCACGGCACACATTTGTAAACTTGTAAATAAATTTGTCCGCAAATGAATTAAGTTTCAATGCAAAAATAAAGACAAAGATTACCCAACACTTGTTGGCTTGAACTGTTTGCTTCACAGCATCAATAAATTGATCGACGGACGGTGAGGGCATGCACATTCTTTCTGCACCAAACTGCATCCGCATTGCATTCTGGTCTGGACGAAAGAGAATGAGATTCCCATCTTTCTTCCTGTATGCTTTTGTGCCTTCATACAAACCCTGTTTACATTTTAATCCCAACCATGAATTTCTTTTGGGGTCAAAACAAAATCCAACTATGAAATTTGTAAGATGAAAGAGTGGAGGAGATTTGCTTACCTGTCCATAATTTAGAACTCCAGCAGCAGGGTTGAGTTCAATGTTTCCATAACGATTAAGTTGGCCTTGTTCAAATGTGCCATTGTTGGAGCATTTCATAACATACATGTAATCAGTTGGCGTTAAACCAAATCCAAGATTATCCCAATCCACATCAGCATACTCATTCTTTTTAACATTATAGCTGTACAAATAATGCAGAAAACATAAAAAGGCACACCAGCAGAGCTGAGAGACATATCCCCATAACTTTAAATATTTAAATAATATTTTTCAACTTTTTATTTGCTAGATAATAATGCTGCCGACAAACTGCTGAAAAGAGTTTCTTTATAATATCTCAGAATTATTTTAAGCCTTTATAATTAAATTATCACAATAATTTACCAAAATCTCAAGCTACCAACCAAATCTCGAAGCATTCTTGATTTTACAGGGAAGGACTGTTTTTTTTTTTTTAATTCACAGAAGTTACCTTTACCTTTCTACAGATTGTTCACATGCTTGTTCCGCATTAGATGCAGCCACAGAACTAAAGCAACGGTGAACTCTAAGCTGCTAATATGAAAAGAAAAAAAGAGAGGGATCAATTTCTCCTCCTTAATTCAGGGTAATATTTTGTCACTCTTGCTTAAATTTTCAAACAATGGTTTCGACAAGTTAGCTAGTTCAGGAAAAGGCATTAAGAAATTTAAAATGGGTAACTACACAAGGCTCCTCACCATGAACATTACACATGCTGCTCATTTTGCTTGCAGACTAACATAATATTAAGGCTAAAATATTACTATGCCAATCATAAAACAAGCGCAGAACATGACTTCATTTATAGACTAACATATTGAAATAAACAGAATCAATTAACTTCGATAGCTAAGAGTACAGAAAGGAGCTTACCAACGTATAGTAATACAATAAAGAAAAACAGGGGATATGAAAAACCAAACAGAGGAAATGAAAAATAAAGGAAATTGAAAAATTAACCTTGGATGACGAAGATAATGAAGAACCAACTCCAATGGATCGAACCAACTTATGAAGTCGGGTTGTCCTCTGAATCATGGCTGATGTCTCTCTGCTTTGACCTCTCAAACAACCCACCCAGCAAATGAACCTAGACTATACTCAGGAGATAGAATTTGAGAATTGAAAGCAAAAGAGATAAGACTCAGAGACGGAGACAGAGAGAAGGATGGGTTATGAGTCACATTAATAGAGCGGCAAGTGAGAAAAATACGGGTACAAAGAGCCAAATTGGTATGGGGGGATCTGGAAACAGAGTACGTAGCCATTAATCCCATATTGGAGGGTCCTTCTATATAATAATATTATAATATATATACAAAATTATCATTGTTTGAGTTATCACTTACTTATCAATAAGAATGAGATGGATATGACAAGTCTGATAACCTTCAAAGAAGATAGGAGCAGAGAACTATATACGACAACACGTTTTTAATGCTGAGGATGCCAGGTCAGGCGAAAATAAAGAAATCCATGAACTTGGCATGCCGTACTGTCTTCTAAATACGGCCTCTGTGGTCCAAAAGGACAAAAATACAGAGTATTGAAAATGATACGTTGCTTCTTTGACTAACTAGTCCAAAGATGATGTTCTTCTTTATCGTAATCGGAAGATATCTAGAGATTGAATTGGCAATTAACAAATGAAAGTTGAAAAGGGCTAAATAGACTTCAAACTGTGGTCCAACTTTGTAGGACGTATATGGAGTTGGCTTACATTTAGACTACAACAGTGTTTATTCGTTCTACAGAGCTGTTAATGCTCACAACTGGAAGTTTTGTTTAACATCCGTGATCAATCCTTCCTACTTCAAGGTCACTGTCCAACCCAACTTGTCTTCTGTATGACCCATTTGTATATTTAACAGCGCCCGGTGCAGTTGCTGAGACACGACAGCAGGTCCAGATTCACAGTAAGGCACCCTGAAAGAACAGAGAAATCTTAGCTCTAGGAATAGCTAATTAAAGACATCTAAGTTAGGACCACAAGTAATAAACAAAGGATGGACATCATCGTATCAAGGAACCAAATTATAAGAAACTCACTTTTTGCCCAGGTAAGTTATGCTGCCCACACGTGATAAATGGACAGCATTTCCAGTACAGAAGACTTCATCAGCTTCAAATAATTCCTCAACCGACACAAGGCGTTCCTCAACCTGTCATGTATTGGATGCAAAGGCCTGAATGAGTAATCAGACCTGTTTGAAAATCCTACAAACGTTACCAATCATAGAATTTATGCTAACTGATGACAGAAATTCAAATGACAACTTATCATCTAAAGGGGGGGAAATGATTAGTTAAAAGTACCCATCAGAATGGCGGCGCCAACTACAATTTGAAGTTGGCAAAAAGACGTGTCTACATGATATGCTGGGTTATATACCAAACACACAGTATGATCTATCCTATCAAGCAAGACATTAACATGTGGTTCCAGCTGAGCCAATTGCCGATTGATGACTGCTCACAGAAGTAAGAAACAAGAAGGATGACCAACAGAAAAGCAAAAAAATAATGTACTCTTTCAGTTGGCGAAGGATTGCAGGAGAGACCTAGCTATGTACCTTTTTAGTTACCTAAAATACATACCTGATACCCTTGGCTGCGAGCAATTTCAATTACACATTTACGTGTAACGCCAGGCAAAACTGTCCCTTCTCCCAATGCTGGAGTGGAGATAATCTTATCCTATCAGTTACATTTTTATGAAAAACATTAACCGACTTATGGTTCAATAGATGATATATAGCCTACAATCACATAACATTTATTTGTTGATAACCAAAGCCAGAGCTTCAACCATACCTTCACGAGAAAAATGTTAGCAGTAGAAGTCTCTTCAACATATCTTCGGTGAACAGAATCGAGGAACAAAACATCAGAGAAACCATTTGCTTTAGCTTCCATATGTGCCTTCAAAATCTATTAAAAGAAATCAAGGGTTTCATATCAGTCCTTGATCATTGAATGCATATATGATATGACCATATTTTGAATGCAGAAATGAAACTTAAACAAAACAGCAATATATAATCTCAGCCTCGTTAGATCTCCTTGTATAGCTTTGTATGAAACAGAAAATCCTCTGTATCCGGAAAAAAGAAAAATAACACACTGAATTCATTTTGTCATAGAAAATGATAAGAGCCCGGATAAAGCAAGATTTGTTGTAGCCAGCTTCGAGCAATCAGCAGAAGCTTCTTTATGAATTGCTAAACAGTGAGAATGCCAAAATGACCGTAGTGCGCCAACAGGAAGACCAATTGATGAACAGCCACTAAGCGCTATGTGAATAAGTGGTAAGTGGAAATTACAGCAGCATAATTTCCTATGGCCTTTACACTTCCAGCTCCACCACGAACTGCACGATGGATTTCGTTTTCAGCCACCAAATTGATCAGTTCTAAGCCTCCCTGTCGCCATCATAGAAATGAAAAATGTGTTATAGTTGAATTAGAGTACCTGCCACTTAAAATCCTTTTCAAAAGGGGAAAGGTTACAGCTTACAAAATACAACTCCAAAACATAGATTAGTTTGAACATAAATTAAACAATTTACCCTAGAATAGTCCCCAATTGGGGTCACCAAAATCAGAAAGATGAATTCTGGAGCTGGTGTAAGACTAAGAACGGGTCCGCTCCCAATAAGTAGCGGTCGAATATGTAGAAAGCCTTTATTTGGTGGGGGAACCTGTAGAGAGGCACTGAGTACAATGACTAGAACATACAACAGAAGGAGGACTTGTCTTAGGAAGAAACATGTTGTAACTTTACCCAACGTCTATTTTCCAATACAGTAACTTTGACAGCTTCCACAAACTGCTCAACGGTTGGTGCAGGCATAAGCAGGCGCTCTGCACCCACTCTCATCCGCAACCCATGTTCCTCTGGGCGACATAGTAATATAGAATTGTCTGGCTTCTTGTAGGCTTTCAATTCTTCAATTATTCCCTGAATAAAAAAAGAAAGGAACTTTTCTTTGCACAAATTAAACTAATCTTAAAACTATGCAGACTGAATAATAATGTACAGAAATCAAATATTTTTTATGTAAGAAGATGAATGTATCAATATCAAGTTGAAACACTAAAGTAGCTATAGTGCCAAGTTTCAAATCAGACCCAGAAATTGAATTGTGGGTACTAATAAAATAAGGGGGCAAGGGCAAGGCATGTTATATAACGAGAAGACTAACCTGGCCATAGTTCAAGACACAGGCTGCTGGGTTCAATTCGATTTTCCCAAAACGTTGTAACCCCCCATCTGAAAAGCTTCCATCTTCGGAACTCTTCATGATAAACATGTAATCAGCTGACATGGGTTTGTCGAATCCAAGGTTATCCCAAGTTGTATCAGGCAATTCAGACGTTTGGCTGTTCTTTTTCAAGAAGAAGAAGAATTTGATTAGCAGAAACAAGCGGAAATGTTATTAAGGTTTGATATGGATTAGTTGAATTAAGTAAAGGTGGTTGGTCTGGTATGTGTACCCATAGGAGGCATGATGAGATGGAGAAACGGCTCGGAGGCTTGTGGTGGAGGAGCCGGCGAGCAAAGCCGCTGGGCCCAGCGAAGACGGCGACAGTCGAAGCAGCTGCTGCTGCTGCATTAACACATGCAACGCAAAGACAAACTTTATAATACCAACTTTATAATACAAATTGAGAAAATACGATTGCTTCAAAAAATTGCATGCCTTGCAGTAATTGTTGGTGGCGGAGCAGAGATAATGCGGCAGAGTAAATATTGCAAGGCTGGGAGCCATCTCTCTAGGCAGTCTCTCACCTGAGTCACCTCATTTCACCTACGCATGCAGAGATTGCAGAGCTTTTTCAGAAAATTTTGATGGGCAATTTGGAAATTTCGTTAGGCTTTTCGGGACGACAACGAGGCTCTGGCTTCTGATCACATCGCTCGGCATGGATCACTGGGCAGTGGGCACCTCTTGTCTTGGTGGGTTTGTCCGGCACGTACCAAATACCTGTGGGACACGCAAATCACCGGTTAAAGCAATTTGGTCTGGGCTGGGCCAGGAAGGCCTCAAATTCAAATTAACAAAGGCCAGGGGCCCAATCAAGAGTTTGATATTTTTGGACCTGAACCCATATATGTTTGCTTGGGCCGAGTTGATCTGGCCCAACATTCCCTTAGTGCCTGTGTTCAATACAATCGCCAAGTTCCTTCTCATTATTATTATTATGTTTAATATATATACAAGCGATATTGAAGATGAAAGAATCGAATCTAGGACCTCTAGTGCATGAGTAAATGCTCTTAACCATTTGAGATAAAAGCCTCCTGTAAAGTTCCTTATCATTATAAGTGTCTTTCATATCTTTGCTGGATTTTGATAGGGCCGACCTTCCCCGTCCACACTCATGCGGGAGATTTCTAACCGTTGATGAGATATAGACCCATATGCGTCAACGATCAGAAAGGTCACCACTTACTCGCAAGGCTGACAATGACCAAGCCATTGAAGCCCAAAAGGCCAACATATATAGATCCACCGTGCCTCTACTATTTTCATGTCGAAGGTCCAACATCTTGTCGTGAAGATAAGATCGAAGGGGGCACATGACATTGCCTGCTTGTGGTTTGGACTGGAGTATTGGTTGATTCAGATCTTCTTCAAATTGTACACGACAAGTCTTATATATTTAATACGATACAACATTTGAACATTACATATATGATATGTGGTTTTACGTACTTGCTATGTTAGTGTGGGCCTGGGGGGTTCGTTATGCTGCAAAAAATCCAAATATAAGCCACTCTTGACACCCAAATTTCCGTGGGGTCCCTGGTCCTTTTCGCACACCAGTTCACAAAAAAGAGCCCATAATTCACGAGGATGTGCCCATAAAGAAGGTGATGATATCTTCGACGAAACCCATTTCATTTTCAATCAAATTGTCATGATTTAATTAGTTATTTAGTTCTAATAATTTCTTGTATATAGTAAACTGGTTTTTTTTTAACAAGGCGATATTTGGATGTAAGGGAGGGTGGCTAAACTCGGATACAAAGGTCGGACACACTCCCTTAACCAACTGACCTAACTCACATTTATTTATATAATAAATTGTTAAACATAGATTAAATTGAACCCAACTGCCCTAACTCACCCAAAGATTGAGAGTGAAGAAGTCGCATTCAAGGAATGTGATTATGTGAGGTGGGGGGTTCGCTGATGACATGACCTATATATCCATTTTTGGGTCCAAATGATAAGATGCTCCAATCTGAAAACTTAATTAGTCTCACACAAACAGTAAGCATACAATCCCAGTGGGGTAAGCAAAAGGCTTTGCTTTCGGAAAAGTCGGTGCCTTGCTGATGATGCTTCTCTCATTTTTCTTCCAAATCAATGACTTGCTTATGTTACTCTGACTAGACTCTTGTTGTCCCATCCCATCTCCTCTTCGAATTTATTCCCCTACCTCAAAACAAAAATACACACTGCCAAAGATTTCACATTTGTGTAAATGCAATAATATTTCTCCAAATATAGAATAATCCTAGCTAATTCAATCTTATTCTTGACGTCTTCTTTTTTTAACACAGAAATTCGAATGCAAGATAATTACTTGAGCTACAAATTTCTTTTCCATTATCCTTAGGTTATATAATGATTTCGTATTAAAAATATATAGGTGGTCTTGTGACTACGTATGGAAATGGAGACAAAAGTCGTGGCTTTGTACTAATTTGACATGGAGGGTTTTGGGGTATGGGGAAGAAAGAAAGGGGGATGTGGAAAAGCCAAACACTGAGCACAATCCCACATTCTCACTGGTCGGCTGGCCTTAAAGCCCGGAAACACGTCTGAAACCTTATCTCCAACACCACAATGCTCTCATCACATCCATCCATCCATCCATCCATCATTGCATGCTTTATAGTTCATACACTACAGTCTTATTTAGGTCTTCTGGCTTGGCTACAATTATAATTATCACCCTTCAGAACCAAATTCAAATGCCCCATCATGCAAAATCATTTGTGGGCTCCACTTGCCTATCCATTGCCGCCTTTGCACGTGTTAGCATCCCTTTCAAGCCCCTCTTATAGACACGTGGTCACTAGTGGAAATGAAACTAGTGTAAACGATAATAATTTTGCTCATCATTTTTAATCACGGTGTATATTATTATGTTCAATGAGAGAAGCAAAATTAGTATTATTTTCATTGTAAGCTTTCTTTTTTGCCTTTTGTTCTGAATTTAAGGTTAGTGATGGATGAAGGAATATATATTTTTTTCTTTCTACGTTCTAAATTAACCCAATTATTCCCAATCATCTTTTAGGCCGAATTGTTAATTGATTGGCACTGTGTCAAAGTCAATATATCTCTATCTGCTTGATCGCACTAGAAACTTATCGACGAAGACTTAGCCAGGATAACGATAACCCTATCTCTAATCTTTATGCCATCTAAGAGTAACTAACTTTCATTCCTTAAGTTATGTCCATGTCATGGCTAACTATTTTCGTGAACAAACACGCTTGTTAACATACACAAATAAATTTTTGAAAATTGCATCACTCTGACGGTTAGATGTCTAATCAAAACTGTATCAAGATTTTTTTAATTATGACTGGCATAAAGAATGCATTGAACTTATAAGATTCGTCGGTGGATTAACCGTACAAATGCTATCATTTCCCATCACTTATCTTCACAAAAGATTCTCTTAAAATTTCTGAGTCTACAAAGTTAGATAGCAGTAGGAAGGTGATAATTGAGAATTTGTGAAAGTAACTAAAGATTGTATCAAAAAGGAAAAAAGAAAAGAAAAGAAAAGTAACAAAAGATGGTAGAGGGTAAGAGGCATTTGGTTGGTCTGCGACTGTGTCTACATGCAGGAACACAATGGATTGGTCTTCATCAGACTCTTCTGAATGTTGTCTCCTCCCCTGGATTGGATTGCTTTCATTTAATTCACCACAGCGAATAGGATTTGTTATTTATTTATTGTTTGTCTGATCTCGCATTTAAATAGTTTAAAACACCTAATTATTTACTAAAAATGAAAACGCTTAAATGCCCCAATAATCGTTAAGTAACTAATGTTGTGCCTCAGTCTTCATCAGCACCCTTCTTATTAATTAACGTATATACACTGTTTCAGTATATTGATTTGTTTATTCAATCTATACCAAAAAGGAATATGTGATGGTATATACATGAAAGAAGTTGAGTGTTTCAAGTCTAACATGTTGACAATACATATTGGGTGGCATGGGAGTACGTGTGACCGTTAGGCCTAACACGTGAAAACTGACTTTAATATCATGAAGGAAGTTTAAGTTTCACCCCAAAATCAATTGGCAACGAGAGAAATAGTTCAACTCCTTATAAACCTAAACTAGGTCTCTTAAATTTTCAGTGTAGAACAAATACTCTCAACAGTACATACCATACCAGAAGAATCTATCTCTATCTCTCTCATGCACCCTGTCCAGTTGTAAAAGAGTAATTAAGATTTGTAGAATAAAATAGTTGTGGTATAAATAAATAATATGTAAAGTGAAAATCCAGTAGATGAAAAAAGTGGAAAGAAAAGGTGTGAAAAGCGCCGAATCATCATTGTCTTCTCTTTATTATGCGTTCTTGTGTACACCCACATTCCATGTGGCTCCACGCATGCTTACATTACAGACTAATTAGCTTCATACGCTATACAGCACACATTAATTGTATAGAGACATCAATTAGACATTACAGAAAGACAATAAGATAGACAAGTAAAGAATTTGTTTTGATATATTTGGTCAACCTATGAGGACAAAGTGGCATGGGGTCGATCGAATTCTTATAATTCCACAAAACACCACATTCCTCATCTCACTCACTTCCCTTTGCTTAAATAAACCCAGCCCCACAAGCCAACCCTCCCCAAAAGTAAATTGATTGAGCTAGTTGAGTTTTAAATTTCTAGAGAGAGATGAGTTTTGATGAAGCTTGTAACACTGGCCTTGGTCTCAGCCTAGGCTGCCGTGACAGCGTAGATCATGACCATACAAATTTGCAGGCTCCTCCTGATCATCATCATCATCATCATCATCATCATCACCACCAAAACACGTACAGGAACAAGCAAATACAGTTGAAATATGATCACCTATTGCCTTCTCTTACGCTAGGCCCATCGGCTGCTTCAAAGATTGAGGAGGCCGAGTCCACTGATTTGCACCAGGCAGTAGCTGTACAGGAACAGGCCTCTTCTCCCTGCAGCGGCGCCTTTTCATCGTTTTCTAACTCGTCAAGTTTCAAGAGGGACAGAGAGTTGGGAGGTGAAGAGATAGAGGTAGAGGTAGAGGTAGAGGTAGAGGTAGAGGTAGAGGAAGAGAGAGTGGTGAATATCACTTCCTCAAGAGCAAGCGAGGAGTTATATGAACAAGATCATGAGGGCAGCCCCAGAAAGAAGCTCAGGCTTTCAAAAGAACAATCTGCCACTTTGGAAGACAGTTTCAGAGAACACACCACCCTCAATCCCGTAAATATTTTACACCATATTAACTTCTCTATCTGTCCATAATTTGTGGGGAAAATCATTGTTTTTCAAATTATTAAAGCTTGAGTTTTCTTTTTGTTCTTTTTTCTTTTCTTGAATAAATCAGAAGCAAAAGCAAGACCTGGCAAGAAAGCTAAATCTACGGCCGCGACAAGTGGAAGTCTGGTTCCAAAACAGGAGGGCCAGGTAGGCTCGATAAATCTTATTCTTTATAATTTCCAAGATGTTTGATGCTTGCATGAGAAATATATAGCCTCAAATTTAATTTGTTCTACATATATATATATATATATATATATATGTATAGGACCAAGTTGAAGCAAACTGAAGCGGATTGTGAGTTGTTGAAAAAGTGTTGTGAGACGCTGAAAGAAGAGAACAGAAGGTTACACAAGGAGCTGCAAGAGGTCAAGTTAATGAAACAAACGGCAACAGCAGCAGCACCACCCTTTTACATGCAGTTTCCAACAGCCACTCTCACCATGTGCCCTTCCTGTGAAAAAATCTGCAACGGCGGTGACCACCATAATCATCATGGGTCGTCGACGAGTTCCTTTTTGATTGGATCGAAGCCTGCTCACTTGATCTTCAACCCCTTTAGCACCCATCCATCTACAGCTTGCTAAAGTTCAAATTAATTTGTATAGAGATCAATGAAATTTAACTGTAGAGAGGTTGTCTATATCTCTCTCTTTATTTACAAATATTTGTAAATTTTTTACGATTTAGTCGTATGGTGAAGGATCCTTGTCTTCTTGTTTCTTGTCCAATGACAAATCTAGCTAGTTAGGTTTACTTTATTTTGTACGTAATGCCATGTTTAGGGTATGGGAAGCTTGTCAAGTCCATTTAATTAAACCTGCTTGATCAGCCTCTATGAATTTCAGCCAAGTTGGTGGACGTGATTCGGACTGAGGTATTGAAAATCAATTCGATGAATTTCTTGCAACATTCAATAGCAATAGCAATCAGTTGCTTTTTCTGTACCTAAAAGTAGTAAATGTGCCCTAATTAGTTCTTTATTAAAATGGTTTGTGAGTTATACCTAATATGATTAATTTCATGAACAAACACAAATTATATTTCACAAGGAAGTAATTAAATAAAGAACAAAAAATCTCTCAAACTAGAAAACAAAAACGACGACGAACAATCTGCGTTTGCTTAATTAGAAGGTACATAACTTGTAAGTTTTGATTGAATTTTTTTCATTTATCTAACATGGCTTTGTCTTATGACAGTATGAAACCCAAGAACAGGAAAAAATAAATTATTCATAATACAGTGACGAGTCCATGACCTATTAACATCATGAATCGCATCCAAAAAAGAAAAACAAAAAAAAACATCATGAAAACTTGTGATAATTCCAAATGTCATTATTTAGAAAGGAAAGGAAGGAACCCAACCAAAAAAAAATAGATGTTATTTTGGTTGAAATTAACAACCGACCGAATTTGCCAAGTCCATATCATATTATTATCATCCATCCTTGAACGTCGTCCCCTTGACGTGTGCAGCTTTGTATGTTGTAATCTTCCATCCAAGGAGGAAAGAAAAGAGAAAGAAAAACTTAATATTTAATTTTAAAGAAAGCAAGAAAGAAGGGGAAAAGGGATACTTTCCGAGCCTTACAAACCGACTATTCATTTGTTTTGCGTAATCTGATAATGATATTTTTGGCAGTAGCATAGGATAGGAGAGTATTTACAGGTTTGTGATTCTGAAATATATATTAAAGTTTGCTAGCTGTGCCCACTCCCCCAGTCTAATTTGTTAACCAAAGAAACAGTTCATAAAAGACAAACAATGAGAAAAGAAGCACAAGGAAAAGCCTAAGCTATGGGCCTGTGGCATGAGTAAGACCTAAGATAGGTATAGATATAGATATAGATAAAGATACTAGTGATCATAAATAATGGTGTTCAATGACCAAAGTTGGTTGCCACTTGCCTGCTGCAGGGAGTACGCACGTTTTTAGACTTCAAAACCTTTTAAATTAAATTATTTGAAATATAGTGTAAAAGATGATCGATTGATTAAGACAATACAAATAGCGGTTCACAATTTGATCGTTGTTGTTGTTGTTGTTCGTTGATGCAATCATGATCAAAAGGTTAATTAACATCGGCATCATAATTATGGTCGTAATCGTGTTATCTGTTCCTCTAACTTGGTTCTCAAGTACCAACAATTCTTTCTACATTGCTCCAACTAGGGTGGGTCTTGGTTCGGCCGCTTCATTCCAAAAATCGACCAATCAATTCTGTTCGGTTTGAGGAATAGAAGGAAAAAGAGGAAGAGATAGAGGAGAGAGACTTTCATCCAACGAAAATAGTACTTTTTGCTATCCCTAGTCAACAGAACAATGACAAGCGGAATAACTTTTTCACGTGTCATTGTATTATTGGCAGAGAATAGCGAAACAATATTATCCCCAATAAAAAATAGACATATGTCAAAACAAATAAAACTTATATAACTAGCATCATTTGCTTTTACAGTGACAAAAAAAAGATAACCGAATCCAATTTTATTGATTTTTTTTCATCTCAATTAATTATTGGTTACCAATTCACCGGTTCAAACACTCACCATAACTCCAACTCTCCTGGAGAACGAGTCAGGGCTAGCTTTAGACTTGCGTGGTTGATAATGACGATGGCATGGTAATTAATATAATTAGGCAGCCTTCTCTCCAATTGGGATGTAGAGTGGTAGGCATATTATATAGAAACAAAATATCCAACACTCTAGATATAATGAATAATTAAATATCCATATGCCTTTTGGACAAATTATATGGGGAAAAAATCATTGGAATATACCACTAGATTTGGGTTAGGCCTGGCATCATATACATATATTTTAGCCAATGTGGTCTGGGATGATGATTGTTCAGTGAGTGCTTGTTCCGTGTAAGGTCGGGGCATGGGGGTGAAGGAGACAAATCTAATTCGTAATCTGGGTAAAAAGATATTGTTCTTTTCTTGTCTCTGCCTAGAGAAATATATATCCTCACCAGCATGGGTCAATATCATGGATCCATAACTTCACCAGGTGGTAAGCTAATGCTTATTGGATAATGACTCAAAAAGTACCCATTTAGTGTATGAGGCTGCGCTATATTTACTTTAATACAAAATTATTAGGTGTACTAATCTTCGTATAGCCATTTTTTATTATGCAATGTGATGAGTTAATTACAGAGTCGGTGATATAATTTTTCTTCTTCTCATATTACCCTAAAATTAATAAATTTACTAATATGCATACAGAATAGGGCGGCGATTAAAATTACTCTCAAACTTATTATAGACAAGTCTTACAGAATAGGTTTACTAATCTCTCTCTATCTGTCTTGTCACTTGACATACCGTGATATGTAAGTTTCTCTCAAATTTCAGATTTTCTCAATACCGCATCACTTTGGTATATAGATCCTCTCTCAGTTGAGAGCTGATTATAATTTGAAAGAGCTGAAGTTGGGTTGCAGTTGAGCTCAGACTGAGTCACGGTCAGACCACTACTGCACGTTTAGTTAGACTTGTTCCATAACATTGAGCCCAAACCATGGAAATGGTAAATTGGTTGGGTTGTTCAGCCCATAGCCACTGATCCACAGTTCTCTTGTTGTCACCTTTTTGTGTTTTCCTAAGGGTTTTATTTTTTGGGTGGTATACTTTCACCTCTTCTTTTACTGTTGTATAAACGTAATCAAAATTTTGGATTTACCAAAAAGGAATTGGAAAATGCCAATGCGTATGTAATACAAATTCATAATAAGCATCAAATTTATCACAAACGAACTGAAAGAATTTGTCCCATTTCTGTCTTGAGACTTCCCAATCACAAGCGCACACACACACCTTCAAAAGTTTCTTTTGCTGTTATCATACTTATAATTTTCCTCGAGAGAGAGATGCTATGTAGGGTTGATGAGGACGTGGATTAATTGTTCAATTGCTTATGGTTCAAATATCTCTGTAGTAATAGTGAAAAGATAAGATTCGTACTGTTTTATAATGGGATTTACCTAAACAAATTATTCATGACATGATTTTTTTTCTTTCTCAAACTGTAGCTGGGTTCCAAGAGCACGGCACCATCCACAACTTCTGAAAGTGCTTACATATATATTAATTACCTAACTACCTATAATAATGCTATCGGAAAATGACTCAAATTGATCGGTTTCAACTTTAATGGGCAGACTATAGGCCAACGTTTGTGTTTTGGATTGGAGGAGGGTTTTCTTGTTTTTTCTGTTTTTGACGTTACAATAGTCGTGGATGTCTGTTTTCTGTCGTCTTTATATCGTCGTCATTTTTTTATGACCCGTGTAGGCCTATCAAACACCATGTAACTATTAAACCTAACATGTTTTGTCCGTCCCATTAAACCAGTTGAATGTGCCCTCTACCATTGAAGTCAATTATTCCAAGAACTGTGGATTAAACTTAATTTATCATATCCTTAACAAACAACCCCAAAAAAAAAAAAAAAAAAAACCCTTATCCTCTTAGAACTTTAGGGTCTGATCTGATTGGAACCGAACCAACCTAACTTCATTACCATTTAGATCGATCCTATTTAAAATATCATGTTTTTATAAGTAAGTTATGCCGCCCTGCCACGATGGACCAGACCAGACCAGCCCAACCGATGCTGCAAATCAGTTTATGTTTTTGCACTCCTACTCAAAAGGGCTTTCCACAATGAGGCAACATTAATTCGAGAACGTCTTACTAATATCCCAAATCGATTTTTAAAACGCAAACGAGTCAACGACGACTATAGAAACTGAAACATGCAGACCACACTGGATAAATTTGAGTAACAAAGTACAACATTTGTAATAACAGAAAAGAAAATATATAAATTATCAGATTGGAATGTAGAACATTCATTTCCCAAGTTTCTAGCAATACAAATCACAAACTATGACTTAAGCAGTTTGCTTTGTCTTTTGGATATATATGGAATTAATTTAACCAAACTTTCCATGTGAGAGCCCTGCACGAGCAGAAGAGGCCACAACTTCTTGATGACTTGTTTCGGTCACGGCCCCAGACGGTAGTGGCCATCACCTATGTAGTGTCCATCCATATATAGGGCCGCATTCTGAGGGTGTAGACCATCCATCACCATGAACTGCATGTCCTCTGAGGGTTTCCAGTGCCTCTTCCTCTGATTTATGAACCAATTGTTTATTTGCTTCTGATCCAAACCTGTCGACTCCGCCAATGCCACCTTCTCCGATTCCTGTATGTAGTAAACTATTGTTACATATCTGGCATGTTATGTTGTCAAACTATAAAAGGTCATCTACTCAATGTTTAGATTAAAGGCCACGTAACATAGCACGAATATAGCAAGCAAGAAATGTTCATATAATATATATTAGGATTTAGGGGGGAAACATACTGAAGGATATGGCCACTTGTAATGCAACTCCCACCAACTGAGAAGCTTCTGCCTGGCATCTTTGGGCAATTTCCCTTTCTTCTTCTTCTTGGAAAGCTCTTGCTTCAGGCTACTTAAGTAACCACTATACTTTTTCAACAGGTGGTTCTTGAGCTCTCTGTCTTCAGCTCTTGGATCAATCTCAGGCACTTCTGTTTCTCCACCACTATTCTCCTGCTCCTCTTCAGATGAACCAATTCCTTCGCATTTGTCATCTGTGTATACGCAGTATATATGTACCAATCAAATTACTCAAACTTGTGACTATTAGCTTAATTAAGAACAAATATTCTCAGCAAAGCTCTGGTGTTTTGTATCATATCTTAAATCATTTTCACCAAAAAAAAAAACGCATTTTGAAATTCATAACATGATTGACTACATATTTGCCCAAAAAAAAAGATTCCCAAAGGATGAATATTTTTTATGGGAGAAGCACCACTTTGGATACACTACTCAAAACCTTGGTAGACAGAAACAGAA